CCAGACTCCTGGTTAGGGTTTTCATACCCTCATGCTAGGTCTTATCTTGACCACCCTGGGCTTTATTCCACCCACTACCTGCCTCGGCAAATATCGCTCGCCTTGGCAACCTATTTGGTGACATGCGTAACACATGCCCCAACCAACCTAGTCTATGGAGGTCGACCACTTGCTCCAGTGGGCGACCGCGGTTGCCCAGATCTTTTCGCCTGACCTCGGCATTGCTCGTCCGGCTGCCCTACCAGATTCATGCAATGCTGCGTAGACAGCGATGTTCAAACGCCGACAGTCTATCTTTGTCCTGTTTTCTTAATGAACAAATTTCTGCTCCATATAGCAGAACTGGCCGAACTGCTGCAGCATACACTAGACCCTTCACAGACAGCCAGATGTTTCAAATTCGCGAATTCCAACCGAGCCTTCTGTATGCGAGCTGACACTTCATCCGTGATGCGTCCACCGGGTGAGAACAGCCGGATGTCGCGACGGGGCCACAGATGTCTCAAGTTGGCAAATGCCAACCGAGCCTTCTTAGCTGACACTTCATCCGTGATGCGTCCACCGGGTGAGATGTAGCTGCCCAAATAACAAAAATTATCCACCTGCTCTATTACTTCCCCAGTTAGAGTGAGGCTGGATGCTAGACCAATCCAGTCTTGTAGTAGCATTTTACACTTTGAAGGTGCAAAATGCATACCGAACGTGGCTACACTAGCACTCAAACTTTCCAGAAAAGCTTGTAACTTACCTGGATCTTCACTTAGTAGCACAATGTGGTCTGCATACTCTAGATCAGACAGCCTGCCACCTGGGAGTAAATCGATGTCACTGTCCTCACATGAGGATAGGGCTGTTTCCATAATCAGATCTATAACAAAGTTAAATAGAAATGGAGAGGGCAACTCTGACGAACACCACTTTATGTGGTGAACTGGGGCAAAAATGTGCCGTAAGCTCGAACTCGGCATCAGCTATGAGTGTAGAGGGATTATATTATTGAAATAAACTTCTCGGGTACACCCTTCAGATAAAGGTAGCGCCAGGGTTTAGAGCGGTCGACTGAGTCGAAAGCCGCTTTAAGATCCAGGAAAATAGAGATGATGGGTCTACGAAAAGAATGTCAGTGCTCCAGAGTTTGGCGAAGAGTGAAGATGTGGTCGATACAACGTCGACCAGCCTGGTTCTCACGAGTGCACTCTTCAGGTGCGGCAGACAATCAACGGAGTATGATACCAGCGAGAAGTTTAGAAGTAATGTTGATTAAACTAATTCCTCTGTGGTTTTCACAGGAGGATCTATCGTCTTTCTTGTAAATCGGTATGATGACCGATTCACATTATTCAACTGAAACCTGTTCCCTCTCCCACACTGAGCCCAGGAGTTTCGTTAACTCCGAAACCAATATCAAACCGCCATCCTTAAAAGCGGATGGAGAGAGCCCGTTTGGACCGGAGGCCTTATGCCTTTTGAGATAGCTTATTTCCCGAGTAACCTCCATTTCAGATGGTGGAGTGGCATCGACTGGCATAATTTGCGGTGGACGGTGATGGTTCAGATGTCGATGGGGGCCAGTTGAACTGAGCCTCACAATGTTCAGCCCATCGATCAAGACAGCGTTGCTGATGGTGCCATCGAATCCCTTAGTTACCTTACCTTATTTTCCTAGGACCCTTATTCCTAATTAGACGGAAAAGATTGCGATCATTGCAGATAGCCGCAGCCTTCTCCATCTCCCTACATTTCTTTACCCACCACTTCTCGCGGTCATTCCTCAGACTCTTGATGAGCTGGCTTTTGAGGGATTTTCGCGTTGTGTCCTATGCGGCATCGGGAGGAAGTTTTTTGCTGTCGTCCAGCAGGACAGCCGTGGTCGATGAAATCCATCGTTTATGTTTCGAGCCTGCGTGAGGGTTTGACGTTGTTTTTATTGACATTTGCATAGCCTCCTTGATTTGCTTTCAGTGTTCATTGGGTCCTTCGGCTGGTGGTTGAACCGGCAAGCGATCGGGGAGTTCCGCTTCGAAGGCTGACTTGCAACAATCGCTGACATGACCACGGGTAGCAGAACATATCCGTGACTGATGTGAGCGCATATAGCCATAGGAACGTACCTGTACACCCCATTGTTATGTGGCGCTAATTTTCTCCTCTCGTTTGTTCGTCACACCATCACGTGCAGATTTACTGAGTGATTTCAAGCTTTGGTTTTCAAATGTAATGCATGTTCTCCCTCAGCATGATTTCTTCTTGCGTACATTATACCACCCGGGCAATCCCGTGTAACATGATGATTTCCTTTCTGAGGGATTTAAATATTTACTTAACGGGTACGCTCATCCCGGCCATCATTCTATGCCCCACTTTCTTCATATTTCTCTCCATTCTCTTCAGATCTTATGCGTGTGCTCCCAACTGCCCGGAGTGATGGAGGACGAGGCTCGTCAAGCATTGGCCTGTCTCCTAAACCCATTCGTCTCGGTTATTCCGTATTTGGTCGTTCCCTCACTTCCGTCTGCCCCGTTGTACCAAACAGTCACTCGCGCAATGCCCGAGGCTAGCGCGAACCGTGTCCAACTCGCCGTACGTCTGATCTCAGCCAATAGACTTTATCAACTCGGACTGACCACATGGGAAATCGGTTGTCAAGTTTTGAGCGCATTCAACTGGAGTTTGCCATCTGCGGCCGATTGGCTTGTGGATCGGTACAATTGTGGTCGACGATCATGTTGGTGATTGAACTCGTGTCTAGT